AGTGTGTCAACTCATTTGATTTATAAGTAACTGCAATGGAAACCCCTGTTAAAGGACATGTCCCTTGACTGATATTACTTACTTGGTTATTAAATTCAATATCACTAAATGACATTATCTGTGCTCTATATATAGTAGATTCGACTATTTGTTTTAGTTGTTCTGCTACCAAATCAGGTGTTAAGTATTTATTGATTTATTTAACAATTTGAGGAAAAACATGTTGCAGTACAATTTGATTGTTATAATTAATTCGATCTTGAGACCATGAAATAAATCGTTGATTAAGATTTTCACGTTCAATATGTTGGTGAATTGCCTCTATAACTTGCAATAATGTGGATAAGCTATTTACAGCACTTTTAATTAGATTGTTAAGTCTCTCAACTCTTTGAGTCGACTGCATTCCACATGTAAAGGTTTTACATATATAAACACACGCCCATGATTTCTTAATAAGTAATAGTTTTTGTAGATATGAGGATGCAGTTGGGTATTTATTTATTTATTTAAGAGATTCACAAATCGTGCTTCAAATATACTTTGTTTAAACTATTACGCGTTAAATAAAAGTCTCGAATAAATTCTATATAATGATCACCAAGTTTGCTCCAGAGGTTTTTTAAAATGTTCTGGCCTAAATGATATAAACAAAAAAGATGTTTTGTATTTAGAAGACTACTAACTACATGTTTCATAGAAAGATCTTCATCTGTCATTAGTACTCTTGGTAAAATTCTAGTTGCATCCTCTAGTTGCTGCATTACCTATTGAAATGATTCGATTGTCTCATCAGGCATTAAAGCCTATGCAGCAATCCTGGTCTTATTGTAGTTATCAACTAAAACAAAAAGGCACAAAGGAAAATTGTAATGATTTGTTTGTGCTGTATTATCCTGAATAATTATATCGCAAAATCAGATCCATCTTTCTTGTTGTCCTGGATCCATTCAAAAAATCCTACGAAGTCGACTGCTAACAGGATCAATTAAAGGTTTGATATACCAATTCAAATCTGCCTCTTTGTATTCATAAAGTAGGGTTAGAAGTCTAGATGCATCATTTCCTTCTATATGATGATCCCGCCGCAATTGTGCTACAATATTCACTAGATCACGTGTTAAGAAAAGCTGATCAGGATATTTGGCAGAGACAAGAGATCGTATTGTTGATAAATCGCATCGACCATTAACTACTAAATGACGAATGTCCTCACAGCACTCATCAGAGAAACGACGATTAACAGGTGCAAAAATCATAGTATCCGGTGAAAGTTGGTGCTCAACATGATGATCACAAAAACTAGTTATACGAATCAAACCCGTAGCCAATGACAGATTAAGTTGCCAATTACAATTAAGTTTTTTTGAGCCTTTATTGTGTTGATTTTGCAAGATTACTATTTTCTTTGGCTGATATGTGCCGCCAAACTTGCATTTGAAATACAAATTTGTTAAACGTCCATTTTTATCAGTTTTATTACGTATTTTAACTGGAATAAAACCTTTTTGACAGCCGTACTGACCAACGTAATGCTCTGCAATAGGCCAATTAGGAAAGGTGTCATTGACAACAAATACTATTTGTTCATTAATGTAAGGTAACGGGCCAGGTATCTCAACCAAATGCTGTCCTTTGTGAATTCCATTATCTTGTACATTCAAACTTTCAGATAATTCACGAAAAATTTCTAAATCTGACGATATCTCAACCAAATGCTGTCCATTATCTTATACATCCAAACTTTCAGATAGTTTATGAGAAATTTCCAAATCTGACGATATCTCAACCAAATGCTGTCCTTTATGAATTCCATTATATTGTATATCCAAACTTTCAGATAGTTCATGAGAAATTTCCAAATCTGACTTTATAAATCTTGATTATTACACTAAATCGTTATTATTTAAAGTCACAAGAGTCGAGAAGACAAAAACCAGTAAAAATAGAAGTCAAGAAACAGTTTTAAACCTAAAAAAAACATATGTAAATTAAATACTAACACTTCTTCAAACCTTAGTTTCACTTGCATACTATAGGTAATCATGTGTTAAAAAGAAAGCAGTTTACCTTTGCCGGAAGCAAAAACAATCAGACGCTTGTCAAGTGCCCACCACTTCAATGAACCTGGAAGAACAATCAATACTTTCACCAAGTTTAAATTAAGAAACGCGAAATAACTATCAAATACTGAAGTGAGGTTGATAACACTATATACAGTATACAATAAAGGTATGGTGTGTTATTATTCTTTCGCACAAGTCCATTTTATCATTTCATAAGGCAAAATCAGGAAACAAGAATTCAATATTCTTACCTTTGCCAGAGATAGGAAAAAAAAACTTGTCAAGTCAGGAAGAGTGCCCGCTGACTTATTGAGCCCAGAAGAACAAACAACCAATGCTTTTACTGAACGAACAACTAACGCTTTTACTAAGCAAACAACTAACGTTTTACTGAGCGAACAACCAACACTTTTACTGAACGAACAACTAACGCTTTTATTGAACCTATCACGATAATATCAGGATACAATGTGAGGTTAATAAGTGTTTGGTCTTTGCTGCTTTGTTATTGCGGTATATTTTCACGATCTACTAACAAGTTTATGTTTATCGGTCCACAAAGTAAAATCAAAAACAAGAAGCACAATAATTTGTAATCATGCCCCTTTTTATTATGTATGTACTTAAGTATATGTTATGCAAAATTTAAACTCCTCCCGCGTCAAAATAAAATCTATTATTTGTGCATGTGCATAATCGTCAGACCTAGAATTTGGTACGTATATAAAACCTGTAAAACTGGTTTTTAATACTGTAAATAAATCGATTTATACTATTTACTATATATATCACATGACTAGGTGTGATTATAACACGGTGTTATAAATATAATATTTCTATATTTTATTAGGCAATTTTTATTAGTCGAATTTTATTAATAATTTTTATTATATATTTATTATATATTTTCTTAAATTTTATTATATTATTTA